TGATGTTGGTGCTGATGCGGCTGATGCTGTTGCTGATGCTGATGATGATGATGTTGCTGATACGGACGATGATGCTCATGCTGATGCTGCTGACGATGATGAAGATGATGATGCTGATGACGATGATGCTGATGATGCTGATGTCGATGATGATGATGGCGATCGTGCTGCTGATGATGCTGATGATAATGCTGAGGATGATGTTGCTGCTGATGCTGATGATGCTGATGCTGCTGCTGACGCTGATGATGATGATGATGATGAGGATGATGATGATGATGATGATGATGATGATGATGATGGTGATGATGATGATGGTGATGATGATGATGATGATGATGGCGGTGATGATGATGATGATGATGATGATGATGATGATGATGATGATGATGATGATGATTATGGCGATGATAACGATGATGAGGAGGACGAGGATGTGGAGGACGAGGAAGACGAGGCGGAGACGGGGGACACGCTTATTCAGGAGGGTGAGGATGAGGAGCATGAGGAGGAAACCGACGAGGATGATGAGGATGCGGAGGCGGAGGAAGAGGAGGCGGCGGGAGAGGAGGAGGAGGAAGAGGAGGAGGAGTATGAAGGAGGAGAACGCGGAGGCCGAGGAGAAGGAGGAGGGGGCGCGGAGGAGGAGGAGGAGGAGGAGGAGGAGGAGAGCAGGAGGAGGAGGGAGGAGGAGAGGAGGAGAGGAGGAGGAGGAGGAGGAGGAGGAGGAGAGGAGGAGGAGGAGGAGGAGGAGGAGGAGGAGGAGGAGGAGGAGGAGGAGGAGGAGGAGGAGGAGGAGGAGGAGGAGGAGGAGGAGGAGGAGGAGGAGGAGGAGGAGGAGGAGAGGAGGAGGAGGAGGAGGAGGAGGAGGAGGAGGAGGAGGAGGAGGAGGAGGAGGAGGAGGAGGAGGAGGAGGAGGAGGAGGAGGAGGAGGAGGAGGGAGGAGGAGGAGGGGAGGAGGAGGAGGGAGGAGGAGGAGGAGGAGGAGGAGGAGGAGGAGGAGGAGGAGGAGAGGAGGAGGAGGAGGAGGAGGAGGGAGGAGGAGGAGGAGGAGGAGGAGGGAGGAGGAGGAGGAGGCGGAGGAGGGAGGAGGAGGAGGAGGAGGAGGAGGAGGAGGAGGGGGGGGGCTGAGGCGGAGGGGGCATGGGGTGATGGTGATGGTGATGGTGATGGTGATGATGATGACGATGATGCTGATGATGATGCTGCTGATGATGTTGCTGATGATGCTCATGATGGTGATGCTGATGATGATGCTGATGATGATAATGATGACGATGATGCCGACGATGTCGATGATGCGGATGATGATGATTATGCTGCTGCGGATGCTGATGCCGATGCCGATGGTGCTGTTGATGATGACGATGATGATGCTGATGCTGCTGATGCTGTTGCTGTTGCTGATGATGGTGCTGCTGCAGGTAAGGACGATGCTGATGCTGACGCTGATGCTGCTGCTGATGCTGATGCTGATGAATATTATGCTGATGCTGATGATGATGATGATGATGATGCTGATGATGATGATGATGATGATGATGATGATGATGATGATGATGATGATGATGATGATGATGATGATGATGATGATGATGATGATGATGATGATGATGATGATGATGATGATGATGATGATGATGATGATGCTGATGATGATGATGATGATGATGATGATGATGATGATGATGATGATGATGATGATGATGATGATGATGATGCTGATGATGATGATGATGATGATGATGCTGACGATGTTGATGCTGATGAAACTGATGCTGATGCTGATGATGATGCTGCTGATGCTGATGATGTTGATGCTGCTGATGATGATGCTGATGCGGCTGCTGATGATTATGATTATGATGATGATGATGATGCTGATGCTGATGATGTTGCTGATGATGATGATGATGCTGATGCGGCTGCTGATGATCATGATGCGGATGATGAGGCTGATGATGATGCTGATGCTGATGATGGTGATGATGATGCTGATGATGCTGATGATGCTGCTGCTGATGATGATGATGACGATGCTGATGATGATGATGATGATGATGATGATGATGATGATGATGATGATGATGATGATGATGATGATGATGATGATGATGATGATGATGATGATGATGATGATGATGATGATGATGATGATGATGATGATGATGATGATGATTCGGATGATGATACATATGATGATGATGATGATGATGATGATGATGATGATGATCATGATGATGAGGATGATGATGATGATGATGATGATGATGATGATGATGATGATGATGATGCTGATGATGATGATGATGATGATGATGATGATGATGATGATGATGATGATGATGATGATGATGATGATGATGATGAATGATGATGACGATGATGATGATGATGATGAGATGATGATGATGATGATGACGAATAGGACGAGGATGCGGAGGAGGACGACGACGAGGAGGAGAAGGGGGGCCGCTTATTCAGGAGGGGGAGGATGAGGAGAATGAGGAGGAGGACGACGACGAGGATGAGGATGCGGAGGAGAGGAGGAGGAGGAGGAAGAGGAGGAGGAGGAGGCGAGGAGGAGGAGGAGGAGGCGGAAGAGGAGGAGGAGGAGGAGGAGGAGGAGGAGGAGGAGGAGGAGGAGGATACTGAAGGAGGAGAACGAGGAGGCCGAGGCCGAGGAGGAGGGGGGCGGAGGAGGAGGAGGATGTGGAGGAGGAGGAGGAGGAGAAGGAGGAGGAGGAGGAGGAGGAGGAGGAGGAGGAGGAGGAGCAGGAGGGGGGGCTGAGGCGGAGGGGGCATGGGGTGATACTGATGGCGATGGTGATGATGATGACGATGATGCTGCTGCTGATGATGATGCTGATGGTGATGTTGATGCTGATGATGATGCTGCTGCTGCTGCTGAAGTTGATGGTGCTGATAGAGAATGTGATGATGGTGATGGCGGTGAGCATGATGTTCAGGATGATGATGATGCTGATGATGATGCTGCTGCTGATGATGATACCATTCTTGTTGTTGATGGTGATGATGATGTTACTGAACATGATGATGATTGTGTTGATGTCGATGATGATGCTGATGGTGATGCTGATTCTGATGATGATGAGTGAATGATGAATGGAGATCATGGCGATGATGCTGATGCTGATGCTAATGCTGATGATGCTGGCGATCACGATGCCGTTGCCGATGATGCCAGTGATGATCATGATGCTGATGCTGATGCTGATGATGATGATGATGATGATGATGATGATGATGATAATGATGATGATGATGATGATGATGATGATGATGATGATGATGATGATGATGCTGATGATGATGATGATGATGATGATGATTATGATGGTGGTGACGATGATGATCCTGTTGCTGCTGATGATGATGATGATGGTGATGATGATGATGAT